AATTTCTCTGGAGAAATAATTGAAGTAGAAATCCAGGCAAATTCATTTTATCCTAAGGGGTTCTGTTAATAAAGTCAATTTATAACTAAAATAATAGAGTTAAATCAATTTACTTGCCAGGCCTGTAAGTAATATATGAAGAAAAAAAAGTTCAGGGTAAATCACAGGCCAGCATAACTTTATAATCCTTTGCATTAGGAAATATTGGACTTCCCTCCTAAAATACTGCAGTACTAAGGAGTGGATAATTCTTACTCAGTGTATTTATTTAAATATGTTAAAATGCATTAGAAGGATATAATGCAGAGGAAATTGCTCAGACTTGATTTTTAAAGTACAGGTTTTTAGATCTAAACACCTTGAAGGTGATTTCAAAAACTCTGTGGAGTGGCTGCCTTGGTGGCAGCAATTTGTCTTGTGGCACGTGGTGTGAATCCTTCCATGCAGGTGCTTAAAAGAGAGGCCCTTTTATCTCCAGACACAATTTCTGTGCTACATGGTGGGAAATGCTTCGTGGAACAGAATCAGAATAAGCTTTTCATTTGACTAATAGTTACTTGTCTGGGCAAATCCCAGGATAGATAATTTTATCATCTGTGGATCTAGAGAGACTTAGTCTTGATTAGGCAAAGCTCAGTGCCACGGCTCTGTTGTGAGCTGTGGCAGGAGGAACCTGCTTTCCTGATGGTGCTTGAAAGAGTCATTTTTCTCGAGGACTGTTTTGAGCAGGAAGTTAAGGAGGTGAAGTTAGACACCTTGTTTCATTTTCTACTCAGGTTGCTAATGCTTCACATGGGGAGGGAGAGGGGATCAACCTCATTGATCTGTGCCCCCTGAGGGGCTCAGCTCCGACACCAAGACACCGAGTTAATTTGTCTGTGTGCTGCTTGCTGTGAGTTTTCCCTTTTTCTCCCCTGATTCATCTCCCTGCCCCTTTGTTTGTGCCCTTGCTCTCCTGCAGATCTGGGTGAGGAAAACCAGCGACAGCACCAAGATGAGGATCTACCTGGGGCAGCTGCAGCGGGGCGTGTTCGTGATCCGCCGGCGCTCGGCCACCTGACCCTGCTCTGCCCTGTCCTGGTTTCTGTCACACCACCAAACCTCTGCCAGGGGCTCACAGGCTGCTCACTCCTCCCTGCAGCAGGGAACAGTCCTGACCTCTGCCGAGACACTTTGTGGCTGGCCACATAATCCCCAGTAGTCCTTAAACCTTTAGTGATGCCCAAGCACTGCCCTGGACTATTTCTGGATTTTGCATCAAGCTTCTGTACGCTCTCTCTTTGTATTTTGGGTGACTGTTTGAGAAGACTTGGCATCATCCTCCTTTTTGTTGTTGTTTTGTGGTGCACAGATGGGACTCTTGTGTCAAAAACATCATCATGTTTCTGTTGGGAGTCAGACCAGTGGAAGAAGCTTTGCTTGTCGAGACCTGAGGTTATTTGTGCTTTTTGGCCTTGTTTTCGTGCAAGGCTCAGGATTTTGGGCAAAAGATGAATCCTGCCAGGTTTCAGCTGCAGCTGAGAGATGCCTCCAGAATATCTGGTGTACAACATCAGCCTTATTGGATGGACTGTTGAAAGACTGGAGACTTTTTTAGGATGGTGTGAACAGCTCAGAAACTGCTGAAATACAGTGATTTTAATGTAGCTCAGAGTCACGCGTGGTTAGTCAGAAGCTTCCGTTTCTCTTCACATTAAAAACCCCTTCAATGAACAAGCAGAGTATGTCTGTTTGCTGATCTAATTAGCTGGCATAGGTGGATGACTAAATTGAAGGACTAATTACCTGGATTTTGCAGATAGCAAGGCTGTATGAACTCTGTGTGTGTCTGTAACCACTTAGAGATGTAAAGAGGCAAACGATCAATTTCCCTTTTTCCACTGATGTTCAGAATCACAGGTTGTGGTGGGATCCTGCTGACAGGAGATCTGTAATATCCTCCCAAGAATCCTGGTACAGAGTAGGAAGTGGCCTTGTCATGCTGTTAGCTGGAGCCTTCATTCCTGAGATGTTCTTCAAAGAGCTCCTCTTGAGGGCTGTTTTAATTGCTGGAGGTAACACTGAATTTCTACACTTGCCCTCCTGCAGCACAAGTGAAAATGCCCAAATAATGACATTAAGGTGCTCCCTAGGTGTTTAAAGATTGCCTCTGGCATTCCTTTATTATTCCCAGTCCTTTGCTGATGGCTGGAAGCACCAGTGCCATGTGTGACTGCCTTGGCAGGAGCCACATGGTGCCCTGGCAGTGCTGTCACATCTCCACCTTCTGTGCAGAACAACTCAGTGCTCCTTTTGATTACTAGTCAAAAGTTATAAATCCTGCCTTTCTCAATCTCTCTCACTTTGAGGCATCTTTTGAGGTTTTGCTTTTGAGCTGCCTTCCTGCCAACACCCATCCAGCCCTGCCTTTCTTTGGTGTGTGCATCAGTGGAGTCCAGGGAAGGGAGTTGCAAGGGCTGTGCCCATTCCTTTCCTGCAGTTGGGTGGCAGTCACATCCCAAAAATTGCTGCCTCTACGTGGGTCTGGAGTGGAGTGTGATGGCTGAGCTCCTGATGTGACTGAGACACCTGACTTGATTTTTGCAGAGTTTTGAGGATCTGGAGCTCTGGCAATGAAGGAGAGGGTGTTTCCCACCCTTGACAATGTGCCATCCCTGCTGCAGCTTAGGCAGCCAAATGCAGCAGGCTGGATTTTGTCAAGTTAGCAGCTTACTTAATATAACTTAACATTCTCTGCACATGTCACAGGTTTTTGATAAGGTGATGATGTACCAGGCAGGATTTGTCACAGAGTCTTTAAATGAACATCGTTCTAATAATAAAAAGTGCTGAGGAAGTAGCAGGATTTATTTCCTGTCTCTATCACTTTATCAATACATATATTTGTGGGAATTGCTGGTGACTTGTGCTCAGTGTTGGGGAGATGCTTTGCCAGCAGCCATCTGCTGCTGTGGTGTTTCCTGTTCTGGGGGAATTTTGGGAGTTAACAGAAGTGTGGGATGTCAGTGTGTGTGGGACAGGAGAGGGGCTCCATGAACCCGTGGTCAGTCAGGGCAAACCCCAATCTCAAACTCTTCCACACCAATCTTACTCCTCCAGGAGAGATGTGAGAGGTCTGTACAACTTCCCCCTGTCAGAATTCCTTGCCAGTTTTCCCAGTGCCCCTGGGTCAGCCTTTGAACTGGTAATTTCTGCTTTTGGCAGCCCTCAGGTGCTGTACTGCTGCAAATGGCTCAAACTTAACTGCTACACTGAAGGAATTTTGTTCATAGGCTGCTTCATCCTCAGTTTCTTAATGAAATGAAAGTCTGCCTTGCCTCTGTTGATCACCATAAAGAGTGGCTGTGTCTGACAGAGTACATGAATATTGTATCCTGGATTTTTCATCCTGGCAGGCTGTTCTGTATTGGCCTGAGCCATTTGTGAGGCTGAAGTGATAAAGTGCAGTGCCTTGCTGTGCACTCAGGGAAGCAAGTGGTTTTTTTTTTTTAATCCTAAATGGATGCACAAGTAGTTCTGTGGTGAGGATGAGGCATGTGAAGATCAAGAGTGGAGACATCAGCTGTAGAACTGAAGATTTCCTGCCACAGGTTGGAAAAATAGAGACAAGTTACTCAAGGAGATGGACAAGGTCTTGCTTGAATTCTAGGAGAAAATTGGCTTTTTTGTCTGTTCTTTGCCTGCTTATCATCAGTCTTGAAGGATCCCAACCCTCTGAGCAGAAACAGCTTTGCTGCAGGTATGAAACAATTTAATCCTCATTATGAACAGCATTCAAAGCAAATTCAGGAAATGGCTTTAACTCGTCGTTACAGTAATTTTAAAGAAAGGTGAACCTTCTGCCAAAAATAGACTTTTATTGAGGGTTAAATTGCAGTTGGCTGAGTCATATTAAGCTTTTCTGGTTTTTATTGCCTTGAGAAATGGACTGTGATGTTGATATGTGCAAAATAAAAAAGACATTCCCCCCCAGCCTTTAGATGTTCCAATGGAAGGAGGCCAGATCAGGGAGCCAACTTCCAGGGGTTTTTTGACATCGTTCTCAACAGAAAGATTTCCAAAAAGGCTTTTTCCAAGGGCAAATGGTAATACACAAAATTGGCTTTTTTAGTTTATGTGCTCTGCCTGGAATTTTGTAAAGAGACAAAGGGATTTAATGACAGAAACTTTAATGGTTTGCCTTGTTTTTTGTAAATTTCTGGGGAACTTAAAGAAAATAAAGGCTAAAAGAGCAAAGAATAGCTTTGTGGATAACTGAGGTTCTTCCTCCGTCAGAAAAAAGAAAAAGCAGCATTTGTGTTCTTATTCCACAGAAGCAAACACTGAAATATTCAGGAATTCTGAATGGGTGTCTGAAGTGTGCTGTTACTATTTTTAGTTTGTCCAATTCTAAAGGTAAGAATTTAATACACAGTCAAGTATTTAGAAAACACAAGAATGCACATTTCTATTTTTCTATGATTTATTGAAAACCTGTCATCACTGAAACCTCAAATTTCATACAGTTAAAGAATTCCTCTATTGTAATGTTTTGCTGAATGTGGGAAACCCCTTTAATATTTAACATCAGCTGAAACTTTGGGGATGCCAAAACATCTTGTAATACTTAAGTGCCTATCACTTTACAGTGGAGTAATTCTGTTTATTTAGATTCCTCCTTTTTAAGCAAGACTGCCTTTCTGTAAAATATTGATTTTAGTTTTTAAATAGACATGACAAACAGCTTGGGTTTATGAAAACCAAAACCTCCCCTAAATATCTGGGGACTTTTCCCCTCCAATTTGATGCTAATAAATAAGCAGAAGGGGGAGAGTGGCTCAAAGAAGCCTTGGGACCAGCATTAAAATAACATTTAGGTGACAACAGAAATGCTAAATATTCTCCATGGTGTATATCTAAACAGGATGGGTGTCTCACCTCCCCTCACATAATTAAAATGCTGAACAGCAGCACAGGAAGAGTTACTTAAGCCTTTGGTTCTAAAATAGCAATGCTCAGAGCAAAGCCAGGCATTTGTAGGGCTTTGGAACCGAGGTCTGTAACCCACGGGAAGCAGCTGCTGATTTATTCCATCAATCTCACATTTGAAAGCTATCAGTTCTCTGGATGCCTCAGGTAGCTTTGTCATTTTTCATTTAGTTCTAATTTGCATCCCCATGTTCTGCCCTGAATCCTGAGAGGGGGGAAAAAAAGGCAGAATAATGATGAAATGTGCATTTTTCATTTCGCTTTATTAAGGTTCCTTATTTTTACTGAATTCAGGATTCTTTGGAGGGTGGTCACTGCCTGCAGATCTCTGCAGGTTTAATGGCCAGCCCAGGTCATGAGAGCTAACAAGCTTTAACAAAAAATAACTACAAATGCAAATCCAGAGAGAAAAATGATATTTTCAGTCAAGGTTTCTGCTTGGTGGTTTCAATCCTGTTTGGAATTGGAGACTGAAGGGTTTTTAAGTGAACAGTCTGGTGCCACTGGCTCACACAGGTTTGCAGGACAGGCTCAGGACACATGGATGTCTGCTGCCATCATTAAATGAGGAGGTAAGTCAAGTTTTTGGTTTGTTTTGGGCTTTTACCTTTTTTTTTTCCAGGTTGTTTGATAAATGATTGATTTCTGTCACACAGTTGAAGGCAGCTGCTGATCATGTCAAGTTCCTGTTAACACTGAAAAATTACACATTCTGGAGAAGAAACAGCCTTTTGCCCTGATCTAAAATTTAGCAACACTGCCTAATGGCCACAGGAATATCTTTTTTCTGATGTGATTAGAGAGGAAACATTCCAAACCTCACACATCATGAGGCATCACGTAATGGGGAAGGCTCTGAATACTGATGATGCTAAATCATGTAAAGCAATTGCACAAAATGAGTGGAAAAGCAGGAGGCAAAGATTCTGCTGGGAAGGATTTCTGGGGTGGTAAAAATCTCATCCATTGAGGTTGGGAATTGCTAAAACAATTGGTTCAAGGCTGTGTGTAAAACTGAGACATGAAGGAGGGTGTGACCTGGAACCTGGGATGCTCAGTCTGTAATGGGATCTCAGCATTAGAATACTGATTAGGTCTCATTTTGGACCAAGCCTGGAGTTTTGCAGTCCAGGAAAGGGAAATAAAACATGGCAGGGTTGTTACCAGCCCTGCCTCAGCCTCTTGGTCTTGTCCTCCCCTGAGGGAATTCAAAACTATGGATTTGTTTCCTCTTCCGTTGAAATATCAGTTTGGGAAGAGCTTTGAAAGTCTGGGTGAAATACAGAAATGCAGTTTCTGTCCCCTGAAGATGATAAACCCTTCTCTGTTCCAAGGAAGGGACAATTGGTGGCAATCCAGTGAGTGGCTCTGCCACAGCAGGGCTTTGCTCCTGGAGGATTTCATCCATCTGAGGAGACACAGGTTCTTGCCTGCCATGTCCAGGTGCTATGAAGGGGAGTATTTACAGATATTTTGGGCTGCAAAGCTGCAGTTTTTGTGCTCTCATACCTGGGCTGCTTGTGTGGTCTGGATAAGAGAAGTGGAGTGTGGAAGGCAGATCCTGGACTGCCCTTGCAGGGAATCATGGAATCACAGAATGGTTTGGGTTGGAAGGGACCTAAAAGATCATCTTCCAACCCCTGCCATGGGCAGGGACACTTTCCAGTAAGTCCCAATGTCCCACCTGGCCTTGGACACTACCAGGGCTTCCATGTGCCAGGGCCTCAGCAGTGCAGTGAGGAGTGTCTGGAGCAGTGAGCAGGGCTGGGCACCTCTCAGTGCTAATCTGGCTTTCTCAGAGAAGTTTGAAGGTTTTGTGTGCTCTGAAATCCCATGAGGGATGCAGTGGATGTGCTGGCTCCCCCAGTGCTGATTCCCTGGGGGGAAATCTCATCCATGTGCTTTGAAATGGATGTGAACAGCCTCAAACGCTGGCTGTGGCCTTCCCGAGGCCTGCAGTGCCTCTTTATCTTGTCAGCCAAGCAAAGGTATCAATAACCCACAGAGCCTCCGAGCAGAGGGGTTCCTCCCCATCCATCCTGCCTGGCAGGTGCTCCATCTCGATTATGCCTCAGCTCTGCTCCATCTGTCATGTTCCTGGCCTGGATGACAGAGCAGGAAGGTGCTGCTGGTGGGAGCGTTTCCTGCCTGCCTAATGGGGCTGTAATTAATGGCTGCAGCCAGCCGAGCAGAGGCACCAGGCCTCTCCTTCAGCCACCCATCCGTGCTGTGTTACACACCCTGCTCCATGGTGGTGCTGCAGATTTACATAACTTCTGAGGTATTGCTATGTTTAATTAATGTGTAATGGCGAACCTTTTCGCTGCTTTTTGCAGCCCTTTGTTGCCAAGTACCTGGCTGGGTGGATGTGGTGCCTCAGATGAAGGGGAATGTGCGGCAAGGCCACGCAGGCTCTGGGAACATGGCCTGTCACTGACCCAGAGTTGTCCCAGCCCTCCCTGCTGGTCACTTGTTCCCTCAGCGAGCTGAGTGTGCTGCAAAGGGGCTGCAGGGACAATCTCAAAAATGGGACTGTTCAAGAGGCTGCTTTGGCTCTCACCCTGCTTCCCCCACCATCTCCTTTGGGAGCAGACATGTCCTGAGGGCCTGCTGGAAGGCAAGGCCGTGAGGGCAAGCTTTGCTGCCTGTGCGTTTAACCCAGCCATCATCCTCATCATCATCATCAGAGCACATGGAGAGCCTCGCTGCCCATCGAAAATTGGGATTTTTACTGTCTGTGTTTTTGGGATCTCACCCTTGGCACGACCTGGCTGAGGTGTCCCTCAGTGCCCCGGCCAAAGCTCGAGTCTCTCGGGGTGCTTATACAAATGAAATTCGGCAGCCATTAACTGGCTTAATGAGCCTCTCAAATGGCTTTGGAGAGGAGCACAGGCTCCTGCTCGACCTTCTGCCCTGTTCCCGTCTGCTCATACGACTCAGCTGACCGTGGGGTGGGACTCCAGCGCTGGGGTCTCATTTTGGGACGGCAGATCAAGGTAGTTCATCCCTGAGGTGGCCTTTGGGGACAGAGGGGGTGAGCAGGCACAGCTCTGTGTGCATTAGTGAGAAGGTTCCCTGAGCGCTGAGACCCTGCAGGGCTCCCATCCATACCTGGCTCGGGTGTTCCCATCCCCTCAGATGTTCCATCCCCTCATCCCCTTGGGTGTTCCATCCCCTGAGGTGTCCCATCCTCCATCCCCAAGCCAAACTCCTCCTGCGTTTCCAGTTTCACACCGACCTGCTCTTGACGTTTATAAACAAACTCTCCCATGTTAATCCACTTAAAAGCAACCGAATCCCTTCTATGGGAGCACTTTTCTCCTCTTTCTGTTGCTGTGGCAATCAGCGCTGCTGAGCAGGGCGGGCGGGAGGGGCCAGCCGAGCATCCATCCTCCTTTCCTGCTGGGGCTCTGCTGCCTGTCTCGCCGCTGATTTTACCCCCATAGTGGTTTTGAAATACGAATCTTAGAGGTTTTTACAGAGAGAAGTAAATGAGAACAAACACAATGACTCATTCGGGGAGGCTGAGGCACAGGAGAGCAGTGATCACCCAAGGGCTGAGAGCTGGCTCTAGAACTCAGCTGGAAATTACATTCTCCTTCCTCAATTTAGCTTTTACTCTGGGCTTGAGGGCAACTTAACCTTCCTTAAGGCTTTGAGTAGGGCTCTGGCTATGTCAAAGCTTCACCCACACCTCTGAGTGCATCATCTCTTGGGTGTCACACGCTTGGCCCTTCTCCATGCAGCTGGCCAGGCCAAGGCTCCCTCTGGAGCAGGTCTGATTTCTGGATCACCAGCTACATTTGGTACTTGAGTGTGAGAAGCTGGTTGCACAAACCATTGGAAGAGAGCACGTTTTCCTTGGCAGTTGGTGGAGATCAGGGGATGTTCTGTTAATCACATCCAACCGAGAGCGAGCGCTGGCAGATGGCAGCTCCCTGGGGATAATTAATCATTTGTTTGTCCAGGATGTTGAGTGTGGAATGGCAATGTCCATACAAGATACAGATTCTAAGGGAAGCTCGGAGAGGACCTGTGGCCCTTGGAAAGGAGGATCTTCCTCTCCAAAGTGCAACTTGTTACCTAAAGACAATAAAATCCACCCTGAAGGGATCCTGGGCTTTCTCCCTGCAACCTTTGGCTCCCCCAGGGCATCAGGCAGCTAAAGGATTGCAAAAGGAGAGGAAGAGAAACTGCCTGACATCTGTGGGCTTTGATCTGCTGTGGAAGATTTCTCCCCTCAGCCTGAGGAGAGAGGGGAATGTATTCAAAACCAGAAAGCAAATGTTTTTAGATTGGGTCTGTAAGGAGCAACACCCTTAGCTGAATTTCCTCCTGGGGAATGAGCAGCAGCAGAGTGACAAAGCTCTGCTGGCCACTGTCACGGGGCAGCTGAGCACGCTCTGCCAGGGGGACACGGGGCACAGGTGCCATTTGCAGACAGCATCGCTCTCCCGGCAGGCAGGAAGGAGGGGAGAGGGCAGGCAACCTCCCTGTCCTGTTTGTTTTGCTTTGTTTTGTTTTTTGTCAGGCTTTCCTCTGGATATCTTCTCCAAATCCTCCTGTTCAAAGGCAGCTGGCTCAGCAGGGGGGTAGGAGAACAGCACAGGCAGGATGGGGATGAGGGGAACCCCCTCCCTCCCTCTGAACTCTGAGGCCTCTCTGTGCAATTTAAAGTGGGGAAAGAAAGACATCTGTACCAAGGATTTGTCAGGCTTGTTCCTGGCAGATAAGCTGGTTTTACCGAGTGGCTTGACATGTAATTCCACACAGTGTGTAGATGTTTGTCTTATGTTTACCTAGAGGAAGAGATTTTTCTATCAATCCTGAAAAAATTAACCTTGTGTAACGGTGCATATCCTCGGTGAAAAAGAGTGTGAGGATCTGTCAAAATGTCAGGCTTGCCTGGAATGAGGGTCCTGCAGAAGACAAGTGGCATTAATGTCTTTGAAGATGTTTCATTTAGGAGTAATGGAGTCCCCAGGCTTTTGGGGGGCCCCTATAATTGAACTGAAGAGGTTGTAAAGCCTAAAAGGGAAATGCTGGACAGGCAGAGACACTCTCAGAGGGAGACGGTCAGGTCATTTCTACTGTAAAACAGCATCAGAAGGAGGTGAAGAATTGTTCCTGAATTACACTCCTTGGCCTGGACCATTTTAGGGAAGTCGGTAAAACTTGGAGGTTTGCTTCTAGGGCAAAAAAGGGCTTGGGGCTGAGTTTTAGTTTAATGGTGCTCATGGAAAGAAACACAACTCCCTTCTGCTCTCTGAATCATCAGGCAGGTTTGCAGGACTGCAGAAATGAGTAATTATTTAAAAAAAAAAAAAAAAAGGAAAAAAAAGTCAGGAAACTTCTTGAAGCTTCCACATCTGTAATGCTGCAAGTCAGCTCACAGTGTCTCCTCTCTAAGGAAAAACCCGTGTTCAGAAAGTGCCTCCTTTCAGAGCCTGAAAATGGATCCTTTACAATCTGTATTTTTCCTACCAGGGACAGAGTGTTTGGATGGAGCTGTGTTTTCTGCCTCAGACACTGAGCACAGTGTTCCTCTTGACAACTTCATGTTGGCTTTAAAATGCTTTTTGAAATAATGCCCTTTCTCTTCTGAAGGCTCTCAAGCTCTTACAAAAGTGGAGAAATTACCCTGTTTGTGAGAAACAGGCACAGAGCTGTGGTGCCTGCACTGCTGGCAGCTTTTTGCTGTTTGCCCCAACTTGCCAATAACCAAATAAAACAACACCTGTTAATTGCCCTTTCTTTGCAAAATCCACTAATTTCATAAGCACTAGGAGGGTGAGTCTGCATTGCTCACGTTGAGGTTTGACCTTGTAAATCCAGGTTTGCTGGAGACCTGCTGCTGTCAGGGGTACAAGCAGTGTTTGGAGTTTGCTGTTTCACAGGAGGGACTTTCTGTTGTGGGAGATGTTGTTTTGGCCTTGGACACCTCCTCTTAACAAGCTCCTTCTCCAGGGAAGCTTTGAAACCCGCCTGAGGTTCTGCATTGGCTCTGAATGAAAGGTGTTGTGCGTCTGAAGTGCCCGGCCCAAGGGCTCTCCAGCAATGCAAACAGCCAGCACACAAAGCCATTAAAGCTCGAGTGCCTGGCCATGATTGCCTGAAGACAGTTTGCAGCTGAGTCCCGCAGGAACCGGCTTTGTCTGAAAAACCACCCGAGGCAGGTGGGGAAAGTCCAGGTAGGTCTTGTTGATTCATCAGGGTGGGTGGTTTAGTCCTTCAGCCAAGGTGAGTGGGAACAAGCATAAATGAGATCAGGGAGATGGTTTAAAGAGGATTCTGTGCTTTCCCCCTCTGCTGAGGCACTGCAATTTCCAGCTCGCATGACTTAGTGGCCCTGGTGTCTTCTATCCTGAAATCAGATACATGGCCTGGAGGAGCCAGACCTGACCTGCTCGGCTCCATTTGCAGAGTGAAACCCCAGAAGTGCAACTCCTGTGCTGCCTCAGAGCTCCTCCATCTCCTGGCACCTCTTCCATGAGGAACACAGAGCTTTTATTTTTTATTCTTCTTATTATCATTTTTATTTTTTTCATTTTACCTCTTGGTACCACACCACTCCTTTCAGGGTGGGGAGTCTCCTGTGCATGCTCTGCTGAGCCAGAAACTGCTTGGAGTTGAGCATGCACTTCCCTCCTGTGGTTTAGAAAGCTGTATCTACATTTTTAGGGATTTTTTTCCCCTCCAACTTATTGAAGTACGAAGGGAAGATTATGGCACTTGATGATTTAATCAACATAATCTCTAGATAAAACATGCTTATGTTATACTACTGGGAGATATTAATTTATGCTGGTTTGCTTCTCCAAAGGTAAATTAAATCATTAGTTTTAAGACTGGATTAGTTGCACATGTGCCCTGCCTCTTAAAAAGGCAGTTTAGGAGTTCTTAAAAGCTTCTTGGCCTGGCATTTCCCAGGAGTCATCGAATCCCTCCAGTGCAGGTGCCATGAAAAGTGGAACTGTGGTGCAGCACCTAAAGGTGGGACAGGGGAGCTGCTCCATGCCCCCTTCTTGGCTAGGAGTGGTGTTAGACGAGCTTGTTAATTCAGAGAGAAGGCTGTGCCCAGCTCTGGAAACCAGAATTGTTCCTTTGAGCCAGCCTTGAGCACTTAAGCTGGTTCAGGGCGAGCTGGAGCAGTGCCCACATCCATCTCCCCCTGGAAGGAGCACTGGGACACCCAGGGGATGTCACCCATCCACCAGGTGGGCTTGGAGCATCCTGCTCTGGTGGAAGGTGTCCCTGCAAGGACAGGAGCTTTAAGGTCCCTCCCTACCCAAACCATTCTGGGGCTCTGTGTTGGTGTGCTTGGGTGACCTTGGGAATTCAGGCAGCACCTCTGATCTGCCTGAAAATCCCCCCAAGTGTATCACAGAAGCTCCGTGAGGGCAGAACAAGAATTAAGAGCAGGAGATATTCACCAGAGTGGGTGGAAGGTGTCACGGCTCTTGCACACAGGCAGGGAAACTGAGGCACAGGGTGCCTCTCCTCACAGAGGGCAGTAGCAGCAGTGAAATCTGGGTGCCTGATGCCGGAGCCATTGGATTTGGAGCAGATGTGCCGAACTGAGCCAGTCTGTTCCCCTTGGGAATGCCCGGGGCGGAGGTGCCCCGACACTGGCTCCCCCGACCCAGGGGGAGGAGAGCTACCAGAGGCCCTCGCAGCAATTTCAGGGCTATTAAGGATGTGCTAATGAGCTTCCTGCATCGCTTTCCAGCATTGCGCTCCGCCAGCTCTGCCCGTGCATTGACACCTCCATCCCGGAGGAGCAAACACTCCGCTGGAGCTCTAACTCCATTTATCGCGTATCTGGGCATCAGCAGGGCTGCTGCAGCTGCAGGGGCTGAGGAGAAGACTTTTCTCAGCCTTCCATCAACACAGAGAGCAGGCGCTCAAGGCACCTCAGAGGAGCAATTGCTGGTCCCCCAGATCTGGGGCAAAACCTCACAGAATGAATGAGCTGGTGCAATGCTGCTGTGGGTGAAGGGAGAGGCAGAGAGGGCTGCTGCAGGGTGCTCTCAGCCGTGCCTGGGCTCTGTCATGCAGGGTGCTTGTCACTGTCATACTTTCTGAAAAATCCCTTCGCCAGGGTTTCTTCTCCTGGGAAAATGAGAAGCCTCAGCTTCTCCGTGTTTTGCTGCTCTGGAATGTGGTCTGGAGATTGTTTATCCAAACATGTGAATTGTTTTTAATTAAAGACCAATCACCATCAGCTGTGTGGGACTCTGAGGAGTCAGTCATGAGTTTTTCATTGTCATTCTTGTTAAGCCTTCTGTCTGTATCCTCTTTCTTTAGTATAGTTTAGAAGACCATGCTATGATTTGATATGATATGATATGATAATAAATCAGCCTTCTGAGAACATGGAGTCAGATTCTCATCTCTCACCTCGCCCTGGGGACCTCACAAACACCACAGGTGCTCTCAGCCATGCCTGGGTGTGGTCTTTGTTGGGGTCCCCAGGACGAGGGAAGAGATGAATCTGACTCCATGTTCTCAGAAGGCATATTACATTACATTATATATTACATTACATTATATTATATATTACATTATATTGTAAACTATGCTCAAGAATAGAGAAAGGATACAGACAGAAGGCTTAACAAGAATGATAATGCAAACTCATGACTCCCTCTTCCAGAGTCCCAACACAGCTGGATGTGATTGGTCATTAAGTTGAAACAATTCACATGAAACCAATCAAACCAGTTGGTAAACAATCTCCAGACCACCTTCCAAAGCAGCAAACACAGAAGAAGCAATCAGATAATTATTGTTTTCATTTCTCTCTGAGGCTTCTCAGCTTCCCAGGAGAAGAATCCTGGGCAAAGAGGATTTTTCAGAAAATATGACAGTGACACCTGGGCTGTGTGCAGCAGGCTGCTCTCAGCCCTGCCTGGGCTCTGTGCTGTGTGGGATGGTCTCCGTGCTCCCAGGAAAGGCCACATCCATTTGCTGTTTCCCTGGTACCGTCAGTCCTTGGGGTGGCTCTGCACAGCATCTCTGGGATGTTTGGGATCTTCCCCCGCTCTGCTCTGCCTCTCTGCATCCTGGGGCCATCTGCTCTGCCTGGGGTGGGTGTGCTGGGGGCTGCCAGGATTGCTGTTCCCTGTGGGACAGAGGCAGAGCTGGGGGAAGGAAACTTCTGTGTCTCCATGGAGGTCAGGACAGGGATGAATCCACGAGGTTGTACATCACACAAAGGGTGGGAAGCGGGTGTGGAGCTTTTCCTGCTGTAGCTCTTCCCACTGCCCTGCTGGACGTGGGTGCCTGGGCAAAAAGCACGGAGAGCCCTTCTTGCTTCATGACTGCATTTCTCTCATTTGAATATTCAGAGGCATTTTTTCTGTTTGGCTATTTAGAGGCAAGTGTCTCCTCCCGTGCACTGTGCTTTTGCACCTGATTTACTGTGTGGAATTAAATGTTAACCAGGGGGGCTGATCCAGTCTGCTCTGAGCTGGACACCTCCTGGAGCTCCAGAGGCATTTCAGGAATGAAATCAGCTAATGGAACTCTTTGCCACCCTATAGGTGTGTGTGGTGTTATGTTCAGTGTCGTGGTCATATTTTCTTTTTGCCCAGAATTTTCTCCTAGGAAGCTGAGAAACCTCAGAGAAAAAGCAAAACAATATTATCTCTTTTGCTTCTCCTGTGTTTTGCTGCTTTGGAATGTGGTTGGAGATTGTTTATCCAACATGTGAATTGTTTTGACTTAATGACCAATCACAGTCAGGCTTGGGTGAGGCTGTGTCTGGACTCTGGAAGGAGTCACGAGTTTTCCTTTAGCATCTTTTAGCCTTCTGTAAGGATCCTCTCTCTATTCTTTATCATAGTTTTAGTATAGCATTCTTTAATATAATATAATGAAATAATAAATTAGCTTTCTAAAAACATGGAGTCAAATTCATCATTCCTTCCTTCCAATGATGAGAGTCTCAGAAAATACCAGAGTTCAGCTCTTCTCCAGCCCCCCTGGCCACAGGCACCCTTGAGAAGCATCCCTGGGGCTGAGCTCTGGCCCCTCAGTTGCTGTGTGACTCTGTGTGTGTGCACCTGCTCAGGGGCTGAGTTCTGGGGCTGAGCCTTTCCCCTGGGTGATGCCTGGGTAGGGAATGTCCCACACAAGGTAAAATCACCTCTCTGGTGCCACATGGGTGGCTGTCTCACCAGGAGAGGGCATGGAAAGGTGCCCAGCTGGTTCTTGTCACTCCTGACTGCAGGCAGCACGGATGTGTCACCGGCACAGCAAAAGGGGAACAATGTTATTTTTGGCTGGATCAGGCTGTTTTCTCTCTCCAAGTTCCACAGGCTGACACGAGGTGCTGCTGAACGCTCAGTCTGGTTTATCTTTGCCTTGGTGAGCAAGGGGGAAAAGCACTTTTTTAATTATAAAAAAAGTATTTGTAGCCTTTCATGCTGGCAGAGCCTTGGCAATAAATCTGGTGTGCAAGGTATATTTTGACTTGGTTTAATGCCTCTTCTGCATCTCCCATGCAGCCATCCACGACTTGTCCTGCAGCCAAGAGGGTCCAGGTCAGTGCTGGGGAGCAGGACTGTGCTGCCACAGGGATCTCCACACTGCAGCCCTTGCCCTGCAGCCAAAGCAGGTGGGTTTGGAAGGACAGCAGAGGTGGGAATCCCTGGCTGCAGTGGGAGAGGGGGGACCCCACTGCTGCTGAGCCATCCTGCGCTGCCTAACACAGAGAGATCAAACCCGAGACAGCGGGATTATTTATTGAGGTGTTTGTTTGAAGTTGAATGGACAGGAATCACATCTCCAAACTGTAAAGAATGAGCTTTTTAGCCTTTTTCCTTTCCACAAAACAGCAGCAACATCTCGGCAGGGATGTCAGGGCGAATCTGTTTCACTGACAACAAGATTGTTCTGTCTAGACGGGGAAGCGCCGCCAAACCGAGGGAGGCTGCGGAATAATTTAAAGCCAAAATACTTTACAGACATTAAATTTAAAAATAAAAGCTGGCTTGACACACAGGATGCTTGATGGATAGCTGGTGTGAGAGTGGGATGGTAGTTGGCTGTGACACAGAGTGTGGTGGCAGGGATTGGCAGGTGTCCCTCAGGGTGACCCAGACCTGTCACCATTTCTGGGTAATTTCCACCAGGATTGGTCCATGGAGGCCTCTGAGTGGCCTGTGGAGCTCAGTGCAGGGATTCTCTGCCATATCTTGAATTCTGTAGCTCTGAGGCAGCTCCCAGCCCTCCCTGCCCCCTCAGTGCCACCTCCTGAGTGGCACCAGGGAATGCTGGAGCAGAAAGGTCTGGGTGGGTGGGTGGGAGATGAGCCTGGCACTCCCTGTCTGCCTGGAGGGGCTGGCAGCCAGGGCTGTCTGAGGCTCGGGGCTGTGGTGGTGAGGTTGCAGCCCAGCCAGCATAAGGAATTTCCTTTCTTCTGGCAGAAAAAGAAAGATGAAATATTAAAAGCATGGCTTAAAGGCTGCTGTATATATATATATATCTACAATCTTTTTTTTCCCTTCTGCTCAGCACTGCTTTGGTGTTGCTCAGAGACAGCAGCCAGTCAGAGCAGGAGAGATGCCAGACTTCAGAAAAGAGCAGGGAGTGGGGCTGAAGCGAGGGAGAAAGAGGAGGATTGTCTCAGGTGGGTTGATTTCAGAGCACAGGGTGAATGCTGACACTTCAACTCCACTACAGCCTTCAGGACTTCAGTTTCCTGTTCAGCATCAGGAAACAAAACCTGTTTTTTTGTCTCTGTCTCTACAGGTGAGGGCAGTGCCCTCTGAAGCAGGAGGACACCTCCATGTGTGCCACTGTCCTTGGATGAGGGAGGATGGCAGGAGAAGAGGGCCAAGGCATCCCTGGAGAAGTCCTGCAAGCTCCCAGCTTGCCATTTGTGCCATCCTGGTGAGTTCAAGGGTCCCTGACAGGTATCTGAAGTGGTGGGAGGTTTATGTGAGGTTTCTCCAGGGCCAGGCTATTCCATTTGCTTCTGCTGATGCCCTTGGGATCTGGGCAGCCAGGCACACTGGCAGCACATCTGTGTCCTGCTCTCAGGAGATTGGGAGGCTCTCCAGCAATCCCAGCTGCTGGGTGGGCAGCAGGAGCCAGCAGCATCCCACAGGAACCTTCACAGGACTGCAGGAGGGAGAGGGTTGGGCTGGACTCGATGCTCTTCCAACCCAGAATTCTGTGGATTCTGTTCCGGTGGGGCTGGGCTCTCTCTCCAGGCAGCACTGACAGAACCAGAGCACACAGCCTCAAGGTGCACCAAGGGAAATGCAGGTTGGATATCAGGAAAAAGTTTTTCATTAGGTTGGATATCATCAGAAGTTTGGGGTTTTTTTATCACAGAAAGGGTGATAAACTTCTAGAATGTTCTGCCCAGGGAGGTGCTGGAGTCCCCATCCCTGGGTGTGTTTAACAAAGCCTGGATGTGGCACTGGGTGCCAGGGTTTAGTTGAGGTGTTGGGGCTGGGTTGGATTCCATTATCTTGAAGGTCTCTTCCAACCCAGTGATTCTGGGAATTCTATGAAGACTGAGGGCTATTGTGTGCTGAGGCAGGAGCTGGAGGGAACCTGCTCAGGGTGTTTAAAGCTGTTCCATCCTTGTTTCTCCTGCTCTGTGTCAGCAGGTCTTGATGCTCAGGGATGTGGGAAGGGGAAGATGCAGGGAGTGGCTTGGAGCAGGGTTAACTCTCCACCTCTGCAGGCACTGACAGCCAGGGCTGTTTAACTGCTGATCAAGGATGTGCCCAAAGGAAGCAGGCTGGGGACACAGTCCCTTGCTGGAGCTCACAGGCTGGGAGGAGCTGTGAAACACAGCTTGACCTCCACTCCAGCTCCAGCTGCTGCCTGGCCTCAGCCTCTGTGTGCCTCTGGCAGGGCAGGGTGGGGACAGACAGCAGAAGGGAGCCCTGATGTCCCTTTTCCCACAGCCTTGAGCATTCCCCTGCCTCCTGCTGCCTGTAAAACACCCTGTGATTAATTACACCACGCTGTAGCTGCCGAAAATGTATTTAGAGTGTTGTGTTTGCTGCTGCTGCCACTTACACAATGGCAAATGTGCCTTGGCTGCTAATGGGTCACTGAAGGGGATGAGAGCATTGGAGCTGCTCTGGGAGCAGGGCAGGCAGAGGGAACACTGCCAGGAAGGTGAGACAGATCTGTTCCAGTGGAATGGTGCTTGCAGGAAATTGCTTGCTTCCCTGATAGCATCCAACTACTTTAATAAATCATTTTTTCCACTAGTTTGTTTAGCTTAAGCTTTCTCCCCCCTGCATGCTAAAAATTAGTCTAATAGGACTTTCTTTTATCTCTAAGAGGTTTGGAAATTATTTTCCTTCAAGGATTTCACTGTCCTGGGAGTGCTCAGAAAAAGGGGGGCTGAGGGAGTTGTCAGCTGGAGAAAAGAGCCTCAGAAAAAGCCTCCCTAAAAATGCTACCAAAGGCATGCAGAAATCAGCCCAAGCTGAACCAGCTGATGGCCCTGCTGTTGAATTTTAATGTTTCTGTGGGGCTGGTTTGTGTGAACTGAAGCAGGCTGTGTTTATTCTATAGAACTCTGTGGGTATCTTGCACTGCATGTCACTCCCTCGGTGCACTGAGAGCAATTCAGCTCCAGGAACCATCACCACCACTGTTATCTTTATTGCCAGTCCTGCCTGATAAGCCTGCTCCCTCCAGGATGGCTGAGCCCAGTGAGTAGCCCAGATCTGTGTGTGTGTGTTCAGGAGAAAGCAAAGCTCGTGCTCAGGAGCTGCTTGCTGGGATCCCAACAGCAGGAGCTTCAAACAACCCCAAGGGCTGCTTTAAAAACATGGGATTTGCAGAGCTCTGCACAAGCAGTCCCTGGGTTTTTCCAGCACATTGGGATTCAGGTGGTTCTCAGCTTGGAGGGGCAGAAATGTGCTGTAATTCTGTGGGTCCTGCTGTCCTTCCTGACATTACACTGCAAATTCATGGCAAAACTCAGCATGGAGCCAGTGACTTGTGCTGGGCTTTGGCTTTCTGACCCAGAGTTGCTTTCTGAGCTGTGCCCCACGTGGGAGGTGTCTGGGGTCTGGTGTCCTGCAGGGCAGAGCTGCACAGGGTGAGGCTGGGCTGGCAGCCTTGGTGCACAGATCCTTGTCCATGGTGGCAATGTCCCTGCATCTCAGACGGCTGTGGGAGCCAGGAGCCCTTGTCTTACCCATGCCAGCTGCTGGCTGCCTGCTGGCAGTGGCAAACAACCATTCCCCTCCCTCCTGCTGAGCTGCTGGTGCCCCTTGTCCCCTCTATTTCAGCTTTCTCAGGGACTGGGAGCTGCTGGATCACAGCTGGCTCCTTGTGGAGTCCCAACAGCTCGCAGGGCACCAGCAGCTCCCAGGTTTCTATCTGCTGTGTCTGGTGGCACCTCTGAGCTGTCCAGAACCACCCAGGTGCTGTGGATGCAGCCTTGGCTGGCAAAGGGAGCACTCCTGGCTTGGAGCATCTGAGGAGAAACAGTTCAGGTGTCCACAAGTCAGTCATGGCTCCACCTGCGGTGTTGGCTCTGGCTGAGGGGTGGAAACACTTGGAGAAGGTCCCTGTCTGTGGGCAGAAGGGGCTTGTGGAGCCTGGCAGGGCTCTCTGGGGAGCAGGGGTGTCCCCAAGCTCCTGGCCCTGGCTGCTGCAGGGAGAGGCTGGCCCTGCCCAGCAGGGCCCTGGCATGAGTGGGCACTGGAGGGCACAGGGCAGGCACTGCCAGGCTGTGGGGAAGGCAGAGAGCTCATCCCTGCTCCCTTCTGAGGCCACGGGATGTGGGAGAGAAAGTGACTTTTAGAGAAATAAAGGAGACTTCCTTTTGGGTCAAGTGCTCTGGAAGGGAACGATTTTGAGATGAAAGGCTTTTTGCTCTGGTAATACAGACTCACATTGCCTAGAGGGAAGTCTGCCTTATGCCAGGCTGCTTTTCCCTCTGGGGGCATTGAGATTGCAATTGAAGATGAATTTTCAACATACTAAAGAGAAGAAGAAAGCTGAGAGAAGACTTTAAAACATATCAGGGGTTCTCGTGGTCTGTTTTAATTTGTCAGCTTGTCTCTCTCGCTTGTAACATCCCTGTTGGGGGCAGGGATTGTTCCTCCTCTTCCCTTTGTGACTTGCTCCTTCCCTCTGGCACCTTCATCAATCCCAGGCTCTGTTTTAATATTTTTCAGGGTTTTTCTTTTTTTTTTTTCCTTTTTTTGCATCCAAGGCTGGTTGACAGAGCAGCAGGAGCTCCTGGGTGATCCCTGGGCTGGAAGAGATCAGAGAATCACAGAATGGTTGGGGTTGGAAGGATCCTTAAAGGCCATTTAGCTCCAACCCCCTGCTGTAGGCAGCCACTGGATCAGGGTCTTGGTTAGCAGGGGTGAGGAGAGAGCAGCCCTCAGCCTTGGGAGCAGCCAGGTGAAGCCCCCTGAAAGGTCTGGCATGGACCCTTTCCCTGTCAGTTCATCATATGAAGGGTCTCTTTTGGAAACATGGCACATTTGGCTTTGGTAAGGCCATGGGAAGCCTCAGAGTGTTTAATTTCTCTGCTTTCTGCTGGTTTCTCCCCCCTGCCCTGCAGGGATGAGGCACACGCTGGGCTCTGCTGCTGCTTAGTGTGAAGTGCTGTAAAACCCCAGCATTGATTTCTCAATCAAAGGTGTCTGTTTGCTCCTCGGTCTGTGCTTTAATGCCTGAAAATCCATTTTTCACTCCCCAACAGTTTGCTGTAAGGTTTTTAAATCAACTGTTGTGCTTCAGAGCTCTGGGAAGAGAATGGATTCAGTCGAGTTGGCTCACCAGTGAGTTCTGAACCAGACAGAAAACAGCCAGAGGCTGTGGGGGCTCTCCAGTCTCAGGTGAGACCTTTGCCTGTGCATCACTGTGGTTGGTACAGGCTAACATTGTTCTCCTTGTTCAGCTTTCTCTCTTTGGAAAGCTCTGGGTCTCCCTCCTGCCCCAACAGTGACCCTGGCTCAGCAGCTGTGTGCTCCTCAGGCTTTGGGGATTTTAAGTTTCAGGGTGTCCTGAAAACAGATGCCAGAAAAACCTCCAGATTTTTATAAGACATTAAAAAGGAACACCATGTTCCCACCTGTGCTTCCCATATTTTCTTGGCAGTCACAGCATTTGCTCACTGTTCCCAGAGCTCTCCAGGGGCTGCACAGCTGCCCCAAGCCCTGCTGAAATGCAGCTGCTTCTGGGGAGGAGCAGAGTGGCTTGGGGCAGCAGGGAGTGCTGCAGGAAATGCAGCTGGAGACTGAGCTGGGAAAGCTGCAGCAGCTCCTGTCCTGGCCTCTGCCCCTCCAACAGCTCTCCTGGATTACAGAAATGTAGTAAAGGTGTTTAACCCCATCTTTCCCCGTGCTAGAGGAAGGAAAATGCCACGGAAAATCTTTTCCAAAGGTGGGAGTGGGGTTGCTCTGCAGCCTGAGAGGTGCTGCTGGAGGCTGGTGAAATGCAGGTGACTCCTGGTGCTAATTGTATGCAGCAGATTTATCTGGAAGGAGCTGAAGGATGTGCATCAAGGATGTCTCAGCTACTCAAGTGAGAAATCAAATTAAACTTTGCATCAAACAGAGGAGCTGCTCTGTGCTGGGAGTTGTGTCGGATCCATTAAGGTTTTCCTGTGCCAGGGCCCCAGAGGCTGGTGGAGAGGAAAACCAGTGCTGAGTGCAGGGGCTGTGTTTGCTGCTCACCTGGATGTGTCAATGATGTGGGCAGCAGGAAAGGGATCAGTGCTTTGACCTCAGGACAGCTCTGTGTGTGTGGGGAGTGGGATGTGGCTGCACAGCAGTGCCTGTTCTGTGTGCCCATCAGCAGGCACTGAGGGATCCTCAGGGATCAGCCCCCAGGGAGCTGGAGCTCTGGAAAACACTCTTATCCCAGTTCCCTTCTCCTCATCTCCCAGCAAA